CAGCCGTCAATGAACCATGATTGAACGAAGATGAAGGAATTAATTAAGATTGGACGCTGGTGGTGTTGTGCTATGCTATTTGATATAAAAGTGTAGAGATGTGATGCGGCTGGGAGAGGCATTAAGAATACTAGACCTCACCCACGTCTGCTAAGGAGAACAAAAGTCTGAGCGCCACTGCCTAAATGACGGATGGTTGCTCCAATTTAACAGCCGGACCAAATTGCTCCAAGTATAATTATTTAGGGGTCAACATACACCAATAATGAATTTAGGATTTAAATCAGTGTTGGGCCTATAGTTCTGAATCTAAAGTGCCGCTTCGCCCTTAATTTTTTATTAAAGATAAAATTGAGTAACTTAAATTTATATAAATTAATTTTGTGTGCATTTGGATGTATAAGAATTTAAATTTGAATTTAAACTAAATCCTTGATTTGGATGCTAGATTTCAAGAGATTTGGAAAAAAACAAAAAGGATTCCAGAATGTATTTTTAAATGTTCAAGAATAAAATGTCAAGGTATGAATCAAATAAAAATACCTTATCCTCTCTTTAAAATAATTAAAAAAAATCAATAACAGAGAGAATGTATTTTTTTGGGACCAACAGTACCTTATCTCTTTGATTTAATAAATTTATGCTCATGTTCCCACGAAATTAAACAAATATAATGTTAGGAATTTGGTAAACATATTTCTAATGTTATCTGGTCAAGCGACATTTCTAATTTATGTTCAGCGTAAATATTGGGAAGTGGCAATTAATATATATAAAAAATCTTCCTAATATTAATCTTGTTCAGATCAAGAACTCCCTCTAATTTTAGATGTAAGAGCTGGTTAACTAATTCACATATATTAAAAAAATTAGTAAGTTAATTATTTGGAAAAAAGGTGTGTTGTTTAAATACCAATCCTTTTTATTATTTATACATCATATGAGAATCTCATATAAAGATAGTTTGGAAACAAAATAAAAAAGATGAGAGATAAAAGAGGTTAAGATCTGGTTACCGAAAAAAAATAGAGAGAGAGGTTAAGATCTTATACTGAAGAGCAAAAAAAAAATCCCAACTAGCTCTTACATTTAAAGATTTTATAAACACATAGGTAAGGCTAATTAATTGGAAATAAGAATGACTTGGATTGCGACATTGAGACGGAAACTTCGGAGAAGATGGAACAAAGTCAACCCTAAAACTAGATGAGACATGATGTCACCAACCTAATTGTGTCATCAACAAATTACTAATTCTACTTATAACGGCTTCCCTTTTGATTGATTAATTCCTTAACTATATTATTAATAATGATGTGTAAATTATTAAGTGCTTGGTGTCAAGCATCAATATCTATTATTATAATAAAATTAATGAGATGATAAAACTTTTAATCCCTCAAATTTTTTTAAATTATATCTTTTAAATTTATTTTTTATTAATTTAATTTTTAAATTTGATGTGGTTATTGATTTGATCATTAACAAGAAATCAAAGTTGAAAAAAATGACTTGTCAATTGCGCGTTGATATGATATGTATGGCTTACTTGGATTTTGTGACTGTATGGTTTTGTTATATCGTTTTAAATTTACTTTTCAGCGAAACTTACAATGATAATAATTTAAGTTAATTATTTAAAGCCGGCTGATGCTGACATGAAATAATTTTTTAATGGAGCAAACTTGTATTATGTCTCTAAGCCCTGTTTATTTGTTGAAAAAGAATGGATTAAAATAAATATCATAAAATTAAAATATAGTGATCAAGACATGGATAAGAAATAAGCCAACCATGTTCACAAGAAGAATAAATAATTCAGTTCATGATGTTGAAAGTCTTGATTTTTGAAGTTTTGTAGTAAGTGTGACAATTCTCACATTTAAAGTATGTTATGATATTAAATTTTTTTCATATTTATTATAAATAATTGAATAATTTAATTCATTTTTATTTTTTATTTTTTTAATTTATTCCATTCTATTCTCGTTCAGCAAGCAAACATTATATATATATATATATATATATTATAGCTGTTAATGAAACTTCATTAAAAAAATACAAACCCTATCTACCCGTCTTAGTGCTTCAAATATGAATACATCGCTTCTCATCTTCCTCTTTGGCGCTGAGTCTTCCTCTTTAAATGTTTCCTATATTTTTGTCCTCTATGTGATTGCATGCATCCCCATCAAGACTCTGCTCGTTGAGGCTTTTAGTTTTCTTGGTCTTGATCCATGACAGCAAGTAAGGCTGCGCAAAGGATTGAACGAAATTGAATTTTGACTTAACTCAAAGTTTAATTCTTTAATAAAAAGGACTGGTTTAGGTAATTAGTAGTCCGATCTAATTCAGTAATAACATGAAAATTAACAGGATTGGACTTGATCCATAGAAATGAAAAACTGATCTTATTCGTCCAGTACTTACTTAGTTTTTTTTTTCCTTTTCCTTTATAAGAAGTAATAATTCATTTCAACTTAATAAACTTAATTAAAATAATAAAAATATTTATAATCATAACAAATCTATAATAATTTCCAACAACAAGAAAAAAATTACAGTTATAATCCAAATAGTCCAAATTATTAGTTTGAGCGCGCGACTGCATCAAGAACCAAACTTATTAAATTATTAATAATCTTAACTTATTATTATAAATAATTAGTAAAATAGTTATAATCATATTAAATAAATTTAATAGGATAAGACTGGACCAAGTAGTCCATATGCCCACTCTTTTGTCCAATCCAACACAAAGAAATAGTCTAATTTTTTTAGTTTTTTAATTCTAAAGGATCAGTTTTTAACCAAACTAGATAAACCAAACTTTCTAGGGTCAGACTGGATCAAATAGAACTACAGGACTTCTGCAAAGCCCTAATAGCAAGTTAGCAACCCACGTATTAAAAAAAAAGTATTTCCACACCAACTGATTTAACATTTGCAAGTGTACAATATTGAAAAAAAAATACTATGATAAAACAAAATAGCCCTTAAATATTTGCATGATTTTCATTTCTCTTGCTCCAATTTTATGTACTTTAAACTTTCGTAAGTGCACCAACAAAGTCTATAAGAAATTAGTCTTTCGCAATGTAATAAACTAAAATTTAAATTTTTATTAAAAGAAATACTTACATTTAATACTCAATGATACCTTAAACAAAATTGTCCCTAACAAAAAGAAATCTGTAGTTGATAAAATAAAAACTTTCAGAAGTGCAGTCATATTCTATATATTTAGCTTTGGGCCAATGTTGCTTCCTGTCCAGCCCACGAAGTCGTGCGTCAGTAGAATGTCTTGCTTAGCTTAACATTACAACTGATATAGGCCCATTAAACGTTTGTTTTTTGGGCAGAATATAAGCCCACGCCAGTTACTTGAATTTGAGATTTGAATTATCTTAATTTACCCAAAAAAACATCACTTAAATTTTACAAACTCAGTACATATTTTTTAAAATTTTTTTGGTAAACTTTTGTTTATGTCCCCATCCAAAAAAAAATCATTATAGATTAATCCCTAGTCATGTGTTCGTTTTCATAGATGTGCTGTCCGGTTTTCAAGAAATTTCGATGGAATTGACATATTAATTAATTACATATAATTAATCTTTCACGTCACGGAGAGATGCGTGAGCAGGGAGAGCAATTGCCTTCAGTTTATGCAATATTCATCGGTGTTTAATGAGAGTGCCGTTTATGTGACTTTGTGGGAATTCAGTAGTCCTTAACATTATGGATATATAATATCAAAATGACGTGCTCTTATATGAATGTATGTATTGTATTGTATTGTTAACTTCCTTGAAATATCGGCTTTTGGTTTGCAAATATCACTGCTGCGAGGGACCACACATTGTAGAGACGAGGAAGGCCACATATTGATCTTTTAGACGCTTTGCTTGAAATTTCGGTGGTGTCGATTTCTCACGTATAATGTTACTGCTAAAGTTGAGAATATAGAATTGAGAATATAGACCAATCCCAATTATTTAAGTTGGCCAATATGAGTTGGAGGATATATGAATTAGATTAAATTCAATCAATTCTCATAACCCAACATTTGAGAATTGGTGGATTAAATAAACTAACCTGTCAATTTATTTATTTTTTAAATTTATTGTTTATGAATTTTTTTAAAAAAATACACTTAAATGATAAGTTTTATTATGATAATTGTTCATGATTTATTCTAAATACAATAAAATATTAACTCATAATATTTATATAAAATATATGAATTGAGTCAATCAAGTAAATTATGCCTTATATAGTCTATAACTTGACAAAATTTTCTTCTTTTTTCCTTTTTTAAATTTTCTTAAAAATAATATAGGTTAAACAAGTTAATCTTAACTCATCAGAATTAATCTATATAATTCACGAGTTATATAGTCTGGGCCAATAAAAAACTGTTTTTATTTGGGCTACTTTTTCTCCAACCTAACTTGATCTGTATGACCGATTATTCTAGCCAACTTATATAATATGGACTATATTGCCGGTTGTAGTTACAGCTTCCAAGCTATCTAGAAATGGAAGCACTAAGGTTAATGCGAATAGGAACTTTTATTTTGCCGGGTAGCTGAATTTCTTCCATTGGGGTTTTGCTAGACGTAACGCTATGTTTTCTCCTTTTTTTCCCCTTCATTTCAATATTTTAATGATGCCAGGTGGTGGAAAAAAAGCCCATTTCAAATTAGAATGAGCTAACTCGATGGACTACCAGCATCATATTCTACCTCGTAACTTAAAACAAAATGTGTTAAGCCGTTTTTTCATTATCTTTTTTTTTTCCAAGTCAAAGTTTAAATCTAAATTTGAAACTCAAATGGAGAAAGGAATTAACATTGAATCTAATAATTGTTATATTAAACTCACATGATTAATTAATCTCTGTCAAACATATTTTCTTTAAATTACGGACTGCTCAATTGAAAATGCATAAGAAAAGGAAAAGACCGAAACGAAACCAAGAAATTATACGCTTCAAAGATGCCAGAAGTCCAGAACACATGAAAAAAACTATAATTATGCACATGGTTTTCACAACCTAAGCTCCAAGACAAGCTTGGATATTACTTCACAGAACCTAATTAACTAACTGACACTCATGTCTAAAACTTAATTATCCGAGCAATGTTTTAGTACCCACTTAGGGAAGAGATGCCACCAATATCTTTACGTAGTTATATTCTCCATCTCCTGATAATCTAATATTTTCTCTGTTCACAGAACCTTCTCCATCATCATCAACATTTATTCTCGTTCTAGAACCTTCCTCTGACGTGTTGGTTCTTGTGGAACTCCAGCTCAAGAATTTTTGGCTATGCATTTTCATAAGCATGACATGTCTTCTCCAAAAATGATGTTCAGAGATTAACAAAGCTAAGAGTGAGAGAATTCCAAATACTACAAACAAACCTGCAAAGCTATATGCGGTGAGGCTGGGACTATCAACATCTGACGATGAAGAAGATATGCCATCATCTTCACAGGTGTTAAAATATCTATCCTCAATGCAGTCCATTTCTTTACTCTCACTTACATTTAATATGGCTTGAGAAAAGTACGAGGTTAAGGTCGAATTCTTACAAAATGCCTGAAAAATCATGCAAATGTTTGAACAGGTCAAGTGTTATGAATAGTATTGGAATTTACAACCATGTTAATTAGATAAAGGGACCAAACAACTATTATGCATGACACACCGATATTTATGTTTTTGCTATTATTCCTTGTACCAAATATAACTCTTTTTCCGAAAGTCCTAGAGTCTATAATATAAGTTATGTATCTTTATATTATTAAGTACGCGTTTGGCTCTTAGAAACAAGAGTAATAAAATAGATATAAACAAAATTGATAGGAATGTTGATTACCATGAGAGCTTATTGGATATTTGGGTGATCAAAAGAGAGCAACGACAGGAAAAGATGGGATAGAATAGAGAGCTTGAAGGAGGGAATAAGTTGATTGGTGAAGGGGTGGAGCGTAATTTAGTCTAATCATGATTCACGAGATATTTGGTAGGTGTCTCGCTTCCAATAAACTTGGTAACAAGTTTTCCAATGAGCATGGTTATGCTAAGATCAATGTACAACCAAATGAATAATACGGCGTAGAATGGAGATGTCATTCTCATAATCAATGCCCTGTGCTAGAATTCAAGCGATCAAACGGGTCTCACACTTATTTTTTTCCAAATACCCTTACCTATTATTAAATGCTTAATTTTGGAACCAACAAGCAAAGAAAAGAGAAACATTAATTACTAAAGGCAATAAAAACTAACTTTAAATAATTTTCTTAATCAGCATGTATGATGCTTGTATAAGAACAAAAGGTAATACTCCTTCCATTCTAAATTATAAGATATTTTTGAACAAAATCTCACATACTAATAAGTCTTACTAAATATATTTAATAACTTTATGTAAAAAATAAAATATAAACTTCTAAAAATATCCTTTATTTAATATATTGAAAAGAGAGAGAGAGAGACAAGAATTAAAGAGACAAAGAGACAGGAATTAAATAGAGAGAGAAGTGGTAATATTGAAATAAGTCTATTTAATGAAATATTTATCTTTTTAAAGTATCTTATATTTTAGGATGCCAAATATTTCCTAAAAGTGTCTTATAATTTAAGATGAAGGGAGTTCTCACATTAAAAAAAAAAAACTTAAATGAGATAGGAAAAGAGAGAGAATGGAAACTCACAAAGCCAAATCCAGCATTGCGATGCCTAGGCCCCACCATGGCATAATTTGAACCATATTTGGCTAGAAAGACTTTAATGTAGGGAACCTCGTCAAAAATGGCATCAACACCACCTCTTCGGCTTCCCTTTTCTAAAGCCTCCTTATATTGCTTAATGCTCGAGTATTCCTTCACTCTTGAACTATCAATACTCAAGCTATCAACTAATAAGCCATTTATGAATGAGCCATAGTGGCATCCAACAAAAATGCTAGGGTCTGTTATAATGTCATCCTCACTAGGGTAATGAGATTGAAGCTGATGTACTGTCAAGATTGATGATAAGCAAGCAGTGTAACTTTGCATCAGTATAAATACTAGAATCAACCACATCACCAACACAAACTTTGAGCAATTCTTTGCCAATGATCCTCCTGCAAATAGTACAAATGACTATTCATGTTTTCTCATGCATGTGCTGCACAAAGTCAATGGAACATTTGCAAAATATTGAGAAAAAATTGTAATGAAATAGTAAGTGTGTGTATATATATATATATACATGATAGGGTTAGAGACTCACTTTCAGGAAAAACTGCTTGCACTACAGGGAGCCACAAGATTGAAACCCCACTAAGTTGTTTTCTAATGGGAGAATTTTTAAGCATTGAATCTTCTTGGACATTGTGTTCCATGAATAATATAATACCTCCAGTAAAAACAGAGACCACGACAATGCATAGCCACATGTCCCAGCTAAATGGTTGTACAAAAGTCCACATATTCAAGCGTGGATCATTTCGGAGTTTCACAAGCATCCTCACATCAGACTGTGCATATGGTAATGTAAAATCTACATAGTTTGACCTATTTGCCACTATTGTCAAATCTGCCACAGCAGCATCATACTGTTCATAAAAATACATCTACATAAGCACAAATATAAAGAGAGGGCCTATCCCAAAACACTAGGCTTTAAATGGGAGAGCCGTTCAAATTTTTAAGGGAAAAACAAATTTAAAGGGAGCCCAACCTAAGAGATTAGTCTGTTAAGTAGCTAAATAAAAAAAAATTCACACTTATAAATCACATTTTAATTATGAGACTTCGCAATATAGGACTTATAACACAAGTGTTGACTATGGCAAAAAATAAATTTAAAACACCTTGCTGCAAAAAATAGTGAAAAACGTGGAAATTCCAGGCCTGACCAACCTCGTTATACAGTCAGCTGGCTTGGTCTGCATGAATAATAATAGAAATAAATCTCTTCAATTGTACGTATTGCTACTGATGAATTGAAAAGAGAGAAAAATAGACTGGACTTCTGTAAAACCCATGTGACTAGAGGTGTAATTAATTAATCTTTTTCTTTCCCTTCACTCTAGCACTAATACATTAAGGAGATCTTCATCAATACATGCATCCAAGACAGTAAATTAAAGTGTCTAACCTTTCCTTCGTTAACCTGGCGGATGAGTGCGTCGTAACCCCCAATAGTGTTTCCATTTTTGTCTACAAAAGCACTAAACTCGAAAGAAATATTGTAGTTTGAACGCTGAAGATAAGCTACTGCAGCCAAGAAAATGTCAATAGAATAGCCTGTAACATTCACGAGCTGACTCTTGTTCAAGGGATTCAGTTGTACATCCACAAACTGGATGAAGCTCACTTTCTTAGGAACACCAACTATCAACTTCTTCCCTCCCAGGAGTGACCCTGCACCATCACTTGCTCCAATCTGAGCTGTTAACAACACAGCACAAGAAAACATTACAAGATAACCATGGTAATAGTAATTTGGGTTGGCCATCTCATGAAAGTTATGTGAGCAGCAAGAAAATGAAGATATTAAGAAGCTAGCTAACTATATATAGTCTGAGTTTGTGCAGCTATATATGCTTCTTTAAGGAACAAGCACGCATGAACTTAGGAGGTTTCTTACTGTCTAAGAAGCGATTTAGTTTCGAGGAAGTTCAGATCAGAAGGCGACGTATTTCTAGAATGTATTTAATTTTCCAGAGTGACATGCTTTTAACGCTCATGACAGTGACTTGTATATGCAGGTTATGAATCAATAATCATGTACAGTTTCATTTTCCATGGAAGCTTTCAGGTCAAAAAATAAAAACAGGAATAATTGTTTACTTGAGTCTTGAGAGTAAGCTTCAAGCTTAAGCTAGTATTGGTTGATTCGCGAAGACTTTCATGTTCCAACAGTACCTCTGAACATAGACGTGTTAAAGATGAATGAATTAAACGGTTGGTTGATTAGTCAAGGCCTTGCAAAGTTGTTATAGCTAGCTACATCATGTTGCAAAGATGAATTTTAAATAGTGATAATTTTGACAAAAAGTAGGGCAGAATACATCATTTCTCTGAAGCTATTTGCTCGAGTGATCACGAAATTGACCTGTTTACGGTTTATGAGCCTTGTCAATTTATGGAATCACTGAAATGGGAAACCCTTTTTCTTGACTCAACCTAAGAAAATTTCCAACTTCGCAGAATGAATGAATATATATATATATGTGTGTGTGTGTGTGTGTGTGTGTGTAATGTATGTATGTATAATTATATGTGGATTGACGTTTTACGTGTCTAGAAAAATAAGTCCCATTATATTATTCATAATTTATGAATTTTACATTTTATTATATATTTTTACCAACAGCTTATCAGGGTGTTATATATAGATTAAAATTATAATTTAATATTACTTCATTATTAATGTATTACTTCATTTTTCTATTGTTATATTTCGTATGACAGGTTTAGATATGTTCCGTAATGGTGCAACTATTCAAGTCTTTAAGTGAATAGGAGAGCCCATTGATGAGAGTAAGGAGATTTGAATCCTTGACTTGAGAGCTGGCTTTGGTTCATTCAAACCATAAATTAAATGTTAGTATAATCCAACAAGACTTTCCCAATAAAGATGAAGATAAGGAAGAACCCTAGAAATTTTGAGGAATATATACCACATGTTTAGTCTCTGAATTTATTGCTTTAAAGATGAATACGGCTGGGCATAATCAATTCTTAAATAAAAATTAATGTTTTGTGAGATTGATTTCAATTATTTAATTATTTTTCAGAAATAATTTTTTGATATGATATTTCATTTTTTTATTTTTAAATAAAAATATTAAAATTAAAAATTATGAAATTTAAAATTTCTTTGAATTTAATTTAGATAGTCCAAGTTACATCAAAATGAAAACCACCAGCTGCACGGACTTGACTTGAGTTTTGACTATTCAAATCAGTTTAGTTTGAATATCCATTTCAGAACATTGAACCAAATCCATCTGCCCCAGAAAAAAAAAAAAAAATTCCGAAGCATGAACCAATTCTTTTGTGTGGGGCGGCCAATTTCTTTTTTTTTTTAGATCTATTTATATGTATTTAATTTTTAAAATAATAATTTGACAACATGAAGGAAAAGTAGTCATTGAAAACAAAATTATGTATAATGGTATCAAAGCAAAAAAAACATATAATACTAAAACTATAAAACCAAGATGTTAATTGTATATTAAAAATCAAAAAAATATGAAAAATACATAAAACGATTAAATTTAAAATAATTTAAAAGAATAATCTGCATGTTCCTTTCCTTGACCACTTCATATCATTTTCTACTCCCCCAAGAAAACGAGTTTATTTTGAAATATAAAATTATTGGCTAGACTTTGGAATGAAAGTAACTGGTGGAGGTTTTATTTGAGGAAAAAATATAACAACTGGTAAGCTCGTAGAAATTTTGGAATATCTTAATTTTAGTTGGGACCATGGCTACATTTTAGGTCATCATAATCATAATTAAGCAACTATTTGATGAAAGCCTTGAAAGCTTATTGTGAGATAATAATACCCATTAACTGACTTCCCTCTGGTAAAAATGAATTTCATATACGGAAGTTCTTCAATTCATAACTGGATGATCTCTATAAGTTCTCAACCCAACGTGTTGCCACTATTCAAACGCGCTAATATGAGAGAGGCTGAGCCAAAAAAATTTATTAGGAGGCCAAAATGACAGAGCACATATGATACTTAAAAAAATTAAATCTATATATATCACTAACATAACATAAATATTTTAACATATATATTTATATTTAATTATATATATAACAAAAAATATATATACTGTTATTTTTTAAGTTTTGTTCATTAATTTTTCATAACATAAGAATAATTAATTATTATATTTATGATAAAATTTTTAACAATTTTCTTCTCAATATAAACTATAATTAAATTGGTGAATATTTCATCTTTTTCTTAAGTATTGAATAATTTATATGTATTATTGGAACCTAGAATTATGTTTAATCTAAAAAGATCTATTACTTAATTACTGAATTTACTATCTAATTCTTTCAATTAATAATTGTAGTAAATAAATATATTAACACCATAATTATGCTTGATTGTCACAAATTCTTTATGTCAATGAGATCTAAATATATCATAGTAAAAACCATTCACATAATAAATGTCAATAGTTTAGTTATTACAAAAAAAATAATTTTTTTATAAGAACATATTTTAAATTATAACCTTTTAAATTTTGGATAAGGGATTTCATATAAGAGATTAAGCACATAACATTCAATATGCCTTGGGATTTTTGTTGCAATGCTTAACAAAATTTGATAATAATAATTATCATAATTTTCTTCATCAAATATAAAGTGAAAAGAAAATTAAATAACATCAATACTTTAAGAATAACTGTAACATTATTTTGTTAAAAATAAGTAGATTATGTGATGATTATATATTTAAACGATGAAATGGTTAGACTATATATTTATAAAAGACTACTATAGAATTGCAATGAGAATTTCATAAATGTCTCAAGGCTTATATAATATGTTAATTTAGAGAGCTGAAAATATATATTTCCTACATTTTACAAAAAAAATAAAAAGTTGGGAGGTAGTGGCCCCTGTTGGTCCCCCGGTCTCCACTATTTATTTTAATTAATTAGAACTTCCTCTGATCCAAAATATAAGTAGCTTTTGGAAAAAATTCACATATGCTAATCGTGTGGGATTGGCCAAGTTTTCATTCTTATAAAAATACATATTATTTTTTCTTTTTACCCTTAGTTTTAACTACCAATATACTCTATGATGAGTGAAAGATATATTTACATAAATATCTAGATTAATAAATACAAAAAATATAATGGAAAAAAAATTTTACATGTACTATTTTGTTTATATTTTAAACCAAGATTAACTTACAGGAAATGCTTATATTTTAAATTGAGAGTAATTAATTAATTAATTAACACCATGATATGGATGTTTACTTCAAGCTAAGATATTTAATTTGATTCCCTTCCCCTTGGCTATTGGAATTTGCTATGGTCATATGCTAATTTAATTTGACCATGTTAATCGATCTACTCCCCCACACTTCACGGCCTTGTATTGATTAAGTTAAACGAAAGATCAATTAATTTCATCACGATCAACTAACTTGTTATAGTTCATAAAGTCAAGATACTGCTTGATGAAGAACTAGTTTACAATGAGCTAATGAATACAATCAACACTTCTTGTAGGCGCGTGAATATTCTTCATATTTGACGAAGATGGAATGAGTCCTGGTTCTTTTGGTCAATAGTGATAATATTCTGATCTTACCTCAAGTCATTAACGATCCATTAGAAATAAACTAATAATCCAAAGACTCCGTATGGTCAAAGTATTAAAGTCAAACTCCGGTTTTCTAATAATATAATGAAGAGCAATTACCTGAAAAATACCCCAAGATTTATACAACACTTAATCTCTCAAGTCTCAACACCGTACGAGAGACTAATTGCTTATGGTGACTGCTATCAAATTGGACAAATTTCACCTAAGCAACATAAATTAATCAAATGACACACAGTTTTTTTTTTTTTTTGAAAAAAAAGTGATACCTTAAAGAAGTAACTTGGTATTGGTGCTCCTCAGAATTGCTACTAATATATATTTTCTAAAGTAGTAATATAGCCTTCTTCTTCCTCCTGATAACTTTCCTCTATCTTCTGTGTGTCCTTAACCCTTCAAAACAGAGCAACGGGAGAAGCAGAGGAAGGCATATGGGAACTGTTACGTTGTCCCTACGAATTAAAAAGATTGGAACTGGCTCTAAGATTTGTCATGTGCTGTTCTAATGTCCTTTTCCTTTCGCGTCTGGTCTTCTGTCTTCTGTTAGTCCTTGGCTTTCTTTTTGTACAATTAAAGGTATTCACATGTTCGGACCAAACTAATCTGTTTATTATAGTTTGGGACCTCTTTGATTTTTTCTTCTAATCAATTTGGTTCGTTTTGAGTTATTTGGTTTTGTTTGGTTTAAGTCTAGATCAAATTTAAACTTTTTTAATGAAATATTTTTCATGATCACCCAAATATATTTATGTTTATGGATAATATTTAACTATTAACTATGATTTGTAATGGAAAAATCTCTTGAGTATGAGAATTTTTTTTAACAATTAATTGGCATGTTTAACTATTAAAAATCAATATATTTTCTTTAAAATACTTGATTATGAAATTAGAAAGTTATCTTAAACAATTGTAAATAACATTTAACTAATTATAACTTATTTTTACTAATGATTTACAAATAACTAAACTTGAAAATAGGAAAAAAATTTCACAAATTTATAAAAATATATACAATAAATATAATAGTTTGATTTGATTTAAATTTCTAGAAAAAAAAACGTAGATAAAAAAATTAATTGATTTTGTCAAAAGAAAAACCAAACCAAATATCATTTATAATCATTTTTGATTGAT